TCCCCGCCCCCCGAGCCCTCGGCTCATTGGGGCACAGGGAGCGCTCCGGGGTGGGCGATCCCGAAGCCCCCCGAGCTGCGGTGTCCCCGCCCCAGGGGACAGGGGGGGACACGGCTCAGAGCCACGGAAAATCCCCGGGGGGCTCAGCAGGGCCGTGGGGAGGGGGATTAAGGATTTAAGGTCTCGATCCCAAGGCGGAGGGAGGGGGCACGGCCGCCTGGGGGCTTCTCCCTCACTAATCCCCCCGCAGCCCCAGCCCTGCCCGGGTTTTCATTGCCCGTCACCATTGATCCCGGCCCGGAGTTCATAATTTATTACTCTTGGCTCTCTAATTAGCCCCGGCCGCCGAGCACTTACCCAGGACGGCGATGGGGAGCAGGGAGAGCCCGAGCAGGACCCAGCAGGCGGCATCCCCCATCACAGGGACCATCCTCGACCTGCAAGGACAGCGCGGCTGCCAGCCGGGCCCCCCGCCCCGCCGTGCCCGCATCACCGCGGCGGGAGCGGGGTGGGCCCCGTTAGCCCGGGCACAGCGGCGTCTCAGCCCTGGCAGCGGCGCGGGATGGGCGGGGGTGTCCCTCTGTGACACCCCCGAGGCACCCCGAGCGCCCCGGGGGTCCCACGGCCCCCCCCGGGCACGAAGCCCCCGCCCCAGCGCCGGCAGCTCCGTCCCGGGGAGGGACTCGAAAGCGTCCGGGAGCCGGGAGCAGCGGGAGGCTGGGCAGGTGGCACAGCTGGAATGGGCACAACCGCTGGCTGGCACCTGCCACCACCACCCGGCTGCCACCACAAGCAAAACCTGGCGCGGGCATCAGCCAGAGCCTGCCACCATCACTCAGTGCCCACCACCATCACCCAGTGCCCACCACCATCATCACCCAGTGCCCAGAACACTCACTCAGTGCCCACCATCATCTCCCAGTGCCCACCATCATCTCCCAGTGCCCACCACCATCTCCCAGTGCCCACCACCACCATCTCCCAGTGCCCACCATCTCCCAGAGCCCACCATCTCCCAGAGCCCACCACCATCTCCCAGTGCCCACCACCATCTCCCAGTGCCCACCACCACCATCTCCCAGTGCGCACCATTTCCCAGTGCCCACCACCATCTCCCAGTGCCCACCATTTCCCAGTGCCCACCACCATCACCCAGCTCCCACCACCACCATCACCAGCCTTGGGGTGCCCAACCGGCCGGGCAGAGGCAGCAGGGACAGTGCCAGCCCCCTCAAACCCCAAAATGCCACCACGTGGCCACGAGCCCCAACCAGACCCCGAGTCCCCCCCACAGCTCCAGCCTGGAATTCGCTGCTCCTGCTCTTGCCCCGTCCCTGCCTTGTGCCAGACACGGATTTGGGGGACACCAGGAGCCCCCCGCGCCTCTCCAGCTGCCCCAAACCGAGTCTGCCTCACCCCCCATCCCCGACGCTCCATTTTCCAGCCCTCGATGCCTCCCCCTGTCCCTTCTGCGCTTTTATGGGACGAGAATAGAAAGAAAAAGAGAAATGGCGAGAAAAAAGGAGACCCCCGCTGGCAAAGGGCCTTTTTGGGGACGCAAAACCGCGTTTTATCTGATTTCTTCTCGAGAAAAAAGCCTTGGCAGCCCCGCGGGGCCCTCTGCCCCCAAAGCCAAGAGCTGGGAGGGGACAGGGAGGTGACCTGGAACATTCCCGGGCTCAGGAAGGGGCAGCGGGATGCGCCTTTGCCGGGATAAATCTCCCAGGAGCTGGAAAAGCCCAGAGCAGCCCCGGGGCACCGCCAGCGGCTCCTTCAGCCCTGCCCGGAGAGGGAATTCCGCCAGGTCAGCCCCGCCAGCACCAAACTCTGCCCCTTCCTCCCGCTCCAGGGGAAAAAATATTAATTTATTGGCAAAAATTATAAATTGCTCGGCACTTTGGGGCTCGGGAGGCTCAGGCCCCTCCCGTGAAATGTTGATTTTCACTTTCCGGGGTGTCCAGGAGCTCTCCCAGGACAAAGCGACAGCGCCGGGACATTGGTCCAGGCACCGCTGGGGACAGCGGGTGTGGGATGGGGACATCCAGGACACCCAGCGCCAGGGGACAAGGGTGCCCCGGGCTGTGCTCACACACATCCCAAGGCTTCGGACCATTCCTGTTGGGTTTTCCCACGTTTTGAAAGATTTTTTGGGATTTCCACCCATTTTCTTTTTGTCCCCTCTGCAGCCTCCGGGCGATTTTTCCCACCGAAAGGCAAAGGAGGAGATTTGGGGGGGACAACAGCGATGGGATCTCGCTCCCTGCCACCTTCCCCTTCTCCATCCTCCTCCTCCCTGCCCGCGGGGCACCCAGCGGAGCATCCAGCGCCAACTCAGGGCCACCAGCCCCGAAGCCAGGAGTGCCAGGCGCGGTGCCACCCCGGGCTGGTGGCAGGGACAGCCGCGTGAACACGAGGAGCAGAAATCCTGCCGGGAGCAGAAATCCCCCTCGGGGTATTTACTCAGAGCCGGCTCCTCGCTGAGCAAACTGCCGCGATTTCTTCAAACGTTAAACAAAAAAGTTTGGATTTGCAGCCTCTTCCCGGGATTCGAGGGGTGGGATGGGGGTCCCTGACCCCTCCCCGGGGGTCACACGGCTGAGCCGTGGCTTCCCTGCCATCAGCATTCCTGCAGGATTTGCTTTCGCAGCAGGAAAATGGGAAAGGCCGAGCCGGCAGCACCTGGGAAAGCTCAGCTGTCCCCAGAGTCCCCCCGCAGCAGGGACAGGACACAGCCCTGCTCCTCTGGGGACACCTGGCTGTCACCGCTGCCCTTGGCACACGCAGGGGACACATTCCTGTGGCTCTGCTCCTGTCCCCGCCCCGCAGCCCCTCACCGCACCCCCGGCAAGATGCTGAGCCAGCAAAAAGTTCCTCCCAGGGTCAGGACAAGTGACAAGGGACGCGCCAGCCCTGCGGGGCCGGGGCCACCACACGCGGTGTCCCCTGGCAAGGTCCCCACAGCCGGACAGTGTCCCCGGGACAGAATCGCTCCCTCCTCATGGCCATCCGTGAATCCACCGGGTGGCACCGCCACGTCCCGACCCTGCGGTGGCACCGCCACGTCCAAAACCTGCGGTGGCACCTCCACATCCCGACCCTGCGGTGGCACCGGGATCGGCCCGGGGTGGGTCCCGGATCCCGGATCCCGGGCAGGATCCAGCCGGGATTCCCGGGGAAAGCAGCGCGGGCAGGGCCACGCGGGTGTCACCACGCAGCGCCCGGAGGTGACAGCGAGGCGAGGGGGTGGCACAGGGGTGGCAGGGGACGGACGTGGCCGGGCCGCCAGGGCCACCAAAGTCCGAATTTCACAGCGGGGGTCTCTCCCCGCAGTCAGGGCGGTGTCGCCGTGACGTCCCCAAGGCCACGTGGCTCGGCCCCCTCGGGGACAAGGAGCGTGTCCCTGTCCCCCCGGCGTCCCAGCCCAACCGGGGCAACGGCAGACGAGAGAAATTTAAAATAACGCCGGTGCAAAACGCCCCCCCAAATCCCCCCCAAAGCCGGGCGAACATTTTCACATCTGTCACTAGCTGTCACCTCATGAATAATTCATCCTGCTCATGAATATGCAAAGCCGGGGCTGGTGATTAGCTTGAGCTGAAACCGAGCTTAATTCCACACAGAGGCCGTCGGGACCACCCGGTCAGTTCGGGGGTCACCTGTCCCCCCACCCTGCCCCGAGCCCGGGCTGGGACGGGGGCGGATCCCGGGACCCGCGCGGAGCACAGGGGACATTTGGGACAGCGCTGGGGACACGGGAGGGGTGGCAGGACAGCGGGGGCACTGCCCACCCAAACGGACAGCCCGGATGCAGCGGTACATTGTTGTCCCTACCCTGGGGACACCCCAGCCCTGGGGGTGCCACCAGCTGTCCCCATGCCCACCGCAGCCCCCACGACCTCCGGTATCCCCGCGGGTCACTCCGGCCCGCGGTGCCACCAACGCGCAGGCGACATCCCGCTGCCCGCCCCCGCGGCGTGTCCCCCCCACACCGCTGCCACCCCGGGGGCTGCTCCTGCACCCCCACCCCAACCCCGAGCC